CTACTGTGCTGCTGGAAAAGCCCCCATACGGGAAGTCCCTGGATAAGCCACTTGAGAGGGGAGAGGAGAGCGGTAACCAGGGAGGGGAGGGTGTGCAGGAACTGGCAATCCCTGTGGGTGGCAGAAGGGGAACTGGATGATATCACAAGGGTGATTTCTGCAGATCCATGACCTCAGTGCTCTTGACCTAAAGGGGTGGAGTAGTTCTTGAGGTTTACTGCAGTGGGACAGACGTGGACTAGGAAGGGCTGTCTGAATAAGGGTACTTCAGGCTATTATGACCTTCAGAAAGAAATTATGCATACATTTCTAGTTGCTTATAAAATTCTTCTGCTTCGAGTAGATGAATTCTTAAACAAGTCTTTACACTATTCATTTTCTCTGTCTCCCTAACTAGAGTGGGAGAAGTATAGGACAGGAGAGCAGCATAGTGGGTGAGGCAGGAGGGTGAATGGTGAGTACGGAAGTTGTTAGTGCCACACATATGTGGTAATAATATCTGTTTCTTGAGAAATATGCAAATAGGTCAACCAGTATGTAACAAAAAACTTGAAGGTGGTTTCATGTTGGAACACACATTTCTTCAAACTGGGACCCAGCTAATAATGTGAAGGAAGTCCAATAATCAAAGCATTTATTCATAGGTGAGTTTTTTGAATTGGAGAGCCTGCAGACTCTTTCTGAGTCTATAAAGTACTTTGGAGAGATTGTACTGAGAACACTTGAAATTTTAGAAGGTGACTCACTGTATTTTCCCCTCCAAATAATTAAGTTGTTTCACTGAGCTCATCTTCATTGGTCTGGTATGTAATAACTTGTTTTTCCCTCTGCTGATGCCTACATTTATTCCTCTAATAATGTTCTTAAAGGTAAAACTTCTTTTTGGAATTTTTTTTAGTGCTACAATTGATCAGTAATCCAGAAGTTCATAGCTGCATGGAGGATTGCCACAGATAACATAATTCTGTGCAACTTCTTGGTCTGAGCACTGAACAAATCACACTTGAATGAAATCCAGTCTTTGCAGTCCGTTTTCACTCAGGTTGGGGCAGGCATTTATGCCCCAGCTCTTTCTTCTGCCCTGTGGTCCAGCGCTGGCCAGGTGGGCAAGTCCAGACAGACATTACCTTGACTGATCCTTCATGCAGGGAATCCTGAGTTGGGTCTGAGATTCAAGGACAAGGTTAATGTCTGCTAGTGCTGTGGATGCAGGGTTTCCTTCCCAAGCCAAGCCACTGCCTGCATTTTGTGAAGGCTGGGGAGTGGGGCAAGCCCTTGCAATGCCCTGGTGAGATAATGGCAAGCACAAGTTACTTGGTATCATTGGGAGGAGAGGGGGAAAGGAGTAATTTATATTCCTGACTCCTGATGGGTGAAACAGTGAGTAGCAGAAGGGAGGTGCGACAGAAGGGAAGCAGTGTGGCCGGCGGCGGCCAGCTGGCCTCGGGTTGGTGGCAGCACGCCTGGGAGGGGAGATCCCTGGGCCCCTGCCAGCGAGTTTGGGAGGAAAGCAGCTACCGATGGTGTTAGTCAGTGTGACTGCTGAGTGCTGTTCAAAGGGCTGGAGTGCTGTTATAAGGACGGATTGAGCGTTATCTCATTTCCTCTTTCACATAACCCCAGGGAAAAGGAAGAACATTAATGAAACCCTGGAACTGAATGGAGCCAGATCCAGGCTGAAATGTTTAAAGAATTTCTCACAAGAGATTTGGCTTTTTGGTCCTTTTGTGCTATTCCACAGGCATAACCTTCCTGGTTTCATGTTTATTTTCCCTTGGCTGCCACTGTTCCTGTTTAATCCTTAAAGATAATAATATACATTAGTAATGGTGAGGAAGAATGCTTCTCGTAACATTAATGTCAAACATAGTGTGATACAATTTCTCTAATATTTTGGCTTTATACTGTGCACACTGTGCCAGCAGTAGTACTGAATGATTCAGAGACTGCTGTTAGGCCTATTAGGGATGCTTTTTCAGAGCTTGTGTAAGAGGCCTCAGAAGATATCCAGAAGATTGACCACAGTATTTATACTTGAAAATGGTGGCAAAAACAGGCTGCTGGAGAATTAAGGCTCAGTCAGCCTGACTTTGAACCCTAGCAAGTCATGAGTGCAACTAACAGTCAATATACAAGCACTTATTGGATAATACAGCATTAAGAGAGCCACATGGATTTCTAAGAACAGATAGTTTCAAAGCAGCCAATTTTCCAGGTCTGGCAGAGGAGCATGCCTTATAAACAGAAAGGAGGAAATAAATGAAGTATATCTGCTGATGCTGTCTCGCACAAAATTTCATAAGCAAACAAGAGAAAGAGGCTTTAGAACTTGAGTAACAGCGATTGACTTTGTTGGAGCACAAGCCTTGCACATTCTCTTCTGTGTATCCACTCGTCCACTCTTAACATTCTTCTTGTTGTGAACCATTCACATAAGTGCTGCTGATACCTCCTGCTGTTCCTTCATCATCCCCTTGCAAGGCATATTAGCTTGGACTTAGTGCTCGGTTTTGGAAGGGAGGTGTGCAGCTGTGTGAAAAAAAGCATCTGGACAGGAATGATGATTTGACACAAAGCCACCAACAGAACCCCCCTAAACAGAAGCTGCCTGATCACAGCTTGCAGGAATTCTCTCCTTTACCACTTGCATTTAATAACTTGATCAGTGATTTGGATGCTGCAGCTAAAAGTTGGCTTACGAGGTTTGTGAACATCCTTGACTTGGAGGAGCCTTTGGGGATACAGGAGATGAATTAGAAATGACCTTGGCAGTCTGAAAAGAGGTGCCACAATCAAGAAGTTGAAATTGCATGGAGAGAAATGAAAAGAGTGGTGCTCACGAAAGAGAATTCAAATGATCATGGCCTCTGCCATTTGGAAGATTATTAAAATGCTTTATGTTTTATGATGTGCCTGCAGAGAAAAACAGATCTTATTTTGGAAATGTTGTGCATTAAATATACAGAAGGGTCGACCTAGATTATTTTGAAAATACTCTATTACTGGTAAAGCCTGAGAGTCGTTGTCCTGCCAGAGGAGGCCTTGTTAAAGCAACAAAGCACTTGAAGAAGATTTGAAATGTACTGGCTGGTGCATGCTTCTTTACTGAAACCAAGGAACAGGGTTGTATCCATGGATGGCAAACCTATTTTGATGGTATTTTAGTGCATCTGTAGTCTCTGTAAGTGGCATAGAAGGGATATGATAGCCCTTCCCAGGAATTAAAGTAACTTTTTTCTCTAAAGCAGCAGTTCTTCCTCCAATGCTCTTGTGTCATAAAGGAGACAGGTACAGTGACGTCGGTAGTTGAAGTCAGAGATCCTGAAATGGGACTCATGCCCTGACATAGCTTTGATGACTCTGTCAGTTTGGCCCATGGCTGTGCTGTCCATGCAACAAGGTGTGTGCATCTCCCTGCACATCAGGATGCAGCTGCAAGGAACCATCCGGTTGTGCTGGGCATTATGTAGCCATTCTGTTTGTCTTCCCCTGTCATGGGCACTGCGGAGGAGGAGGCTGGGCAGAATGGCAAGGTTGTTGTCTTACTTCTTAACAGCAGTACTCTTGTGGAAGGGTCAAGCGTTTCTCCTGTTATTCAAAAGCATTTTAGAGGAGGGGGAAGCTTTTGACAGCTCCCAACATCAAACTGATCAGCTGCTGCAACTCCAGTCCTGCAGCGCCAGGTGTGCCCTCTGCTCACAGCCAGTACTTGGGTCCCTTCGATCTGCTCCTGCTTCAGTCAGCTCTGCCACTGCCGCTGGCCCCAGGAGAGGACGCTTGGTGAGGAGCATGGGTCTAGCAGTGAATCTGGTGCTTCCCATCACTTCCTTGCAAGAAGCCCTCAAATGAGCAGTGTGGTTCTTCCTAGGGCATTGCTCCAGGCCTGGCTCAGGTATAGCAGTAACCCTTTTGAAAAAGTGTTTAAATATTGCAGTGAGTTCAATAGAATACAAATGTCTGTCCTCTCATCAGTTGAGAGCAGACTATTTTAATTGGTGCTGTTTCATAGAACCATAGAATTTAGGTTGGAAGGGACTTTTAGAAGCCATTTAGTCCAATGTCCTTGCAGTGAGCAGGGATATCTTGAATTCCATCAGGTTGCCCAGAGCTCCATCCAGTCTGACACAGGGTCAGGGCAGCTACCAGCTCTGTGGGCAACCCGTTCCAGTATTTCACCACCATCGTAGTCAAAAATTTCTTATTTGAACGGCTGCAATCGTGACTTTTTACCTGAACTTGAGTTAGTCTGGCTTGGAGGTCCAGCTCTAATTTTTGTAGATTTGCTGTTAGCATTTGGTGGCCTGGGCTCTGCTTTGAACGGCAGCTGTGGTGACATTGACAGGAAGGACGGCGAGGGGAACCCCAGGGCCGTTTGGGGCTTTTCCCCCGATTTTTGAGCAGCCTTTCCAGCCTGGCGATGTGAGTTGGGCGGGGAGGGAGCTGCGGGCAGGGCTCCTTCGCGGGCCGGGGACGTGCGGAGAGGCGGCTGCGGGGCCAGGCCGCGGCTCTCGGGCTCCGTCCGCCGGTGCGAGCGCGGCCGGGCCGGGCCGGGCTGGGCCGCCCCACAGCGCGGGAGCCGGGCACGGCCCCTGGGGCGGGGGCGGCTGCAGCCGGCGCCTCCGGGAACATGATGAGGGATATATCTCACTTCTGCTGAACTGGAGGGGTACTTTTTGCATCTTCCTCCCTTGTGCTGTGTATGGCAGCCGCTGGTCCTTTGCCCTACAACAGCTGCATTCGCTAACCCACCCCCCAAATCCAGCCTTCTCCCATTTTGGTGGTTGGGAGAGAGCTCTTGAGAGAGGAAGACATGGGCTAAAGCTCCTTGCAGCTGGGGTGAAGGTGAGGGAGGAAGGAGTGTGTGGGGAGGGGGAAGGAACAGCGTCGGAAGGAGAAGAGGAACTTGGTGGTGAGCTCCTAGGTCAGTTCAGCCATCTCTTGTGTACACCCTCGGCAAACTGGAACAGCTGAGGCATGAGTACATATTTCCTTCTGCTTGTTTTGCCCCGGATACGGTGATTTCAGGGGTGATGAGGCAGACAGCTGCAGGGTGTGACTGTCTGGCTTCTCCACCAGCTCCTGGCTATGCAGGCATCTCAAAGGTCTCCTTGCAGAGGGTGGCTCTTGTTGCCTGTAGCAGAAAGGACACTGACTTGTCCAGAAGCTGCGGTAATGAGCATCCTGGAACAGTTCTGGGGATTTGGTTCTACCTGTGTTCTGCAGTTCTAGTTCATGTTGGGCTGCTAGAGAAGCAAAGCAAAATACTCTGCATGTGTGGAAATGTGGCTATGAACCAGTGGTTCTCTTCCCTAGTTAATTTTCGCTTGTAGACTAACTTTTTGGTCTAATTCTATGCCTGGTGCAGGTCCAGCCCCCTCTCTGTTACCTCAGGAGCTCCATGATGACTGCGGAGCCACATCTGCTGACCCCTTTTGCAGGAAGCCCTGGTGCCAGGAGCAGCTGATGAGCTTGGCTGAACCGTGTGACTTTGTCTAGAGCTGTTTGTGTGACTCTGCCCTGTGCTTCCCATCAGGCCTGATCTGGGCAACCACAGACTGCAGCACAGTGCCTATGAGCATAGTCCCTCTGGGGCTGGTCTTGTTCTGCTCTCATTTACCATAGTTTTGTTCACAAGTTTTCTTTTAGCATGGCTCTTTTGGAAGTCAAGTTGGTGATAAAAGAGAGCCAACTATTGTGATGTGAGCAAAACTGAAAAACACAGTTTAGCCAGGCCAACTGGTTAATGAATTGCTCAAACATGCTTTAAAACTTTAATTGAAGAGTTAATACTTGTTTTCCTAGTTCCCTTTTAACGGATGCTTGTTCACATTAACCATAAAGTGTTGCAGCTTTTACAGTTATCATGAATTAACAAATTGTCCTTGCCTTTTTGTAGAAGCGGAACTGGTGGCATATGAGCAATGTATTAAATAACATGAATTGAAGTAGCAACCAAGGCCTCTCATTCTGTATAACTGGTGTGTTTGATTTTCTTCATTTTCAAGAACAAAATGCTGTTACCTTGACGTTTGCCACATTATTTTGAGAGACAAAGCTGTCGTGCATTCTTTTGCCTGGGAGGGTATCTGTCCAGTGATAAGTTTAATGAAACTTTACTGCCGCTTTTGTACTTTAGGGGTCTTTGCAGGAAGAGATAAGAAATTCAAATGAGGAAGCACTATGTGACAGTATGGGAAACAGCAGCTTGGAAAGATAACTTACATTGTTAATTTGTCCACAGAAAAGGGTTAGCGATAATGTTAAGTGGTCTGCAGACAGAAATAGGAGCAAGAAACAGGATGTAGAAACATGATAAAGGAAAAGCAAAATGAGGTTCTGTTGGTATGGCATGGCATTATTTTGTGTATATGGTGAAAGCAGGTGGTAAGGAAACTTTCCCGTCTGACCGTTTGGGAGGGCACGCTGGCAGTCAGGGAAGCTCTATTTCCCTACAAACAGAGATGGGGACAAGTTCTGCCTGCAGCGCCTCCTGTATGTCCCCTGCAAAGATCAGATTGTGGCCTCATTTCTTTGTCGCTGGTGATGAGCAAGGTTTCAGGCTCCGCTTGTTACGGATGTATCTAGCATCTAGTGGGGAAACATTATTGATTTTCAGGGTACTCCTGCTTTAACTTGCAAAGGATTGGCTGAGGCCTTTGAAGTGTACCAGGGATTAAGATTGCTTTAGGAAAACTGAGTTTGAGTCTCTGTCCCTACAAGAGACACATAACTCTTGTTTGTATGGGCAGGTGGACCACCCTAACCTGCTCTGTGAGGTGGTGGTGATTTTTTGACCCCAGTTAGTCCTTGTCCTGTGCTGAGGTTGTCAGAGGTAGCAGTAGCCTTGCAGTGTGTGACACTGTCTGCCTTCATCTCAGAGAAGAAAATCAGAGAGTATTCCTCTTTCTCAGCTGGTGGGAAAGTGGGTAGATGTGGTCTTACCACTCGGAATGGCACTGACAGAGATGCTTGTGATAGGTTGAAGTGGCCCTGTATGACTCTTTGCTGCTCATCCTTGATTCCAGGGGTTGCTCTTCCCATAAAAGGACCTGGAATGCTGTCCTGCTGTTCTTACGGTTTTGTACTTCTGCACCATGTACCAATGGTATAATGAAAGCTGTAGCCTTTCCTATGAGGTGGAAGCTTTGCTTCCTTCTCTGTCGTTGGTGGTTTTGAGATGGAGAATTGACATGACATAATGTGTGGAGCTGAACTGTGAATTTTGATCCTCTTCTTTATCCTCTTCTTTATCCTCTTCTTTACAGCATCAGGTTTTTACAGGGTCAAAGAAGGAAGTGGTTTACTGGGTCACTTCCTCTTTTTATTTTTTTTTTTTATCACAACTACCAGTAATAACCACAGAGAAAGCATACAAACAGTGGGCATTTGATGTGAAGCTTTATATGGGAAAGGCTGCTCATTGTGAACGTGCTGCCAGCGAGGCTACAGACTGACAGTAAGTGTCCACCTGGCCACTGGGGCTGAGGGTCTGGCTGAGGCATCTGCTGGACTGCACATTGTGCTGCCTTCTGAGCCGACAGCCTGGCTACGAATTGCATGGGCTTTTAGTCATTCACAGGGAAATTCTTGGGAGTGGGAGCCATGCATGGGAATGGTGATAAATAAAGATAGGCAGAGGATGAATAATAGTTATACTTGCTGGATTTTCTTACTAGTAACAGCAAGCAGCATGGTAACAGAGATTTTAGCAAAGTCCTTTATTCTGGAAATGCACAGTGGTATTCTGGTATATCCAGTAGTTTTTTGTCCTTTGCTCACTGGGAGAGTTTTTAGGGACACTATTTTGTCCCCACCCAGAACAGAGGATTTGTGGTCAGTTTGAAGATACACCATTGCTGACAGGTTTTCTACTGGCTGAGGAAGAGGACACTGCGACAGAGTAATTGAACCCAAAACTGTAATTCCAGTGGGAGGAAAAGATGTGTCCCACCTGTTACAGAAATTGTGTCACTTCTGGTGTGGTTGTGTTCAGAAGTCAGTAACTTTGCCAGCAAAGCAAAACTTTTATGATAGGGCAGCTATGCATTTTTGGTTTAAGGCTTTTGCTCTGATTTAAGAATCTTAGGTATGTTTTTCATGTGCTTTAAAATATTATGAAAAATCCATATGAGATCATATTTCTATGTGTTATGCTGAATCCCAAAGTAATTTTTACAGCATTAAGGGAAGGGGGGGGAATGGCTTTTACATTTTACATCATCCTGAATGTCCAGGTTAAATTACTTTCATTTCTTTTGCACTGTGTTGGTCTTTTTTTTGTCTGTTTGTATTTTTCCTAGTATGGATTTTTCTGCTTGGATATGAATGACAAGTTTTAATAATTTTGAAACCAAAGTGTAAATACTTAAAAATTAAGATTTTTTGAGTCGCTAAAAATTGCACCTTGCCTTTGATTTTTAAGTGTTTTTGCATGTATTCAGCTTCATTCTTTTTAGACACCTGATCTACTTTCTGTATTTTGCTTTAGAGAATATATTAGCTCTTATATATAATAAACCATCATACTACAGGTTTCTGAGCATTTAGAGATGATAATCTGTAGGGACACACCATTTTCTACCTTTCTTGGAAATGCTGGTCAGAGTATAGAACTACTTTTCATTATGTCTGACCTGTGCTGTCTCAAGTGTTTTCTCTGTGCCCTTACTGCCTCCTCCTTCCCTTTCCTCTGTAATGTGTTTTCCCTGCCTTGTTTTTTTGGGCAGTAGAGGCTGTGTGAGGTGGTAAGAGTGTTTGCAGGTGTAGAGTCAGGATCACTGTTTCTTCTGGGCTTCCAAATTGACCATCCCTCACCATACAGCCAGAAGCATTCAAAGGCTCTGGTGCCATCTTGATAGCTCAGAATTGGACTGTCCTTTTAAAACACCAGCCCTTGGAGATGTAGTGTCCCCCACTGCTTCCATGGTTGTATTTGTGTGCCAGGAGGTGGTGGTGCCTTCAAGCCACATGCATGTTGTCAGTGTTACCAGCACCTGTTCCAGCCTTCTCGAGGGGACTGTACTGTCTTCTCTCCTTGGCATTTCATTTCAATGAAAGGAGACAAAACTTCGGTGATAAGCTTTTCTTTCTCTACTTGTAATGGAGTGTTAGTCATTTGAAAAGTATTTGTAATATGAAAAGCAAAGAAGTCCAGGAGAGTAATTGCTGGTAGTCAATAGAGAAAGCAGTTGATAGGCTACTGTAGTTTTGTTTTCATTTATTTAACCCTGATGAATGAAGTTTGGAGAAAAATTAAGATTTCCTAATAGTTCCATTCCTTTGCTGAAAGGGAAAAGTCAGTTTGGGACCTGTTTTGAGATGTCTCAACTAGCTCTCCACCCAAACCAGGGCTCAGCAATTGCCCATCTGATATGCCTCAGTCAGCTTTTCTGCACCCCGGAAGGGCTTGCTGACTTTTGGGACACAAACCCGACTGCCAGAGCAGATAATTCCTTGGGGTATCTGGGGCAGCAGCTCTCTGGGGAACTTCTAACCACCCAATAAGCCAGCTGGCACCTGGGGCATTTTGCCTTCATTTCTAGAGGCAATTTATCCCATCATAATAGAATAAAGTAAACCTTCTGGACATACCTACAGTAGCAGAGTGCAAGTAGAAGTAAACTTTTTTTAAGGATAAGACTTTTCAGCTTAGGATCTTAGGGAATTCTCCCTCCTCATTTTTGGTGTGGTTTTTTTTCCCCCTTTCTTTTTTAAGATGTTACCCCACCATATACAGGGTCCATATGAGTAATTGTACCCATCTAGTACTGTTTGCCAGCTTGTTTGTCACTCCTGTTTTTTAAGAGGCTTATGTACAAATGGCAAGACAAAACTGATTCTGTGTCACGCTTTCTTCTTTGTACACCTACTCATGCATGGATCATCTGCCGATTAACAACAGACATTTCTGGCTATAATGCCAACCTGCATCTTCACCCACTGGTCTCTCGTTCATCTCTGCTCTCAGCTTGGCCCCGGTCTGAATGACTTAAGTATGTGTGGGTTAGTTAATCCATACCTCCCTCTGGCTGTAGGAGGAAATACTGGCACGAGAAACAAGGAAGTATTTTCCCAGTAGAGGGAGGTATTGTAAAGCTCAGCCAAAGTAAGTTTCTGCTTTCTGAAGAAAAGTGTGCTTTTTGAAGGGTTTTTTCTCTGCTGAATTTAAGAATTCATGGAGCAGCATGTGCAGGGAGCTTGGATAAGGAAAGCAAAATACCTTGCTCCACGTTCAAGCAGACAGGAGATTTCCCCATTTTTGCTTTTACTTTAATTATTATTATTGGAATAGAGTATGTGGAATGAGAGCAGGGATCTCTGCCATGCTTCACCGAAACCTTGTGGGCCACCAGTCAATGGAGGTGGAGATGCCTTTGGTACTGCCAGCATGAGAAAGGACCCCTGTTTTCACCACAATAACCCTGCCTTCCCTTTGCCCCATCAAATCCCAGAGGACTTCAGTGGGTTGAGTGCATCACTGCTCTGAAGAGTGTTGATCACACCATAGAATCATAGAATGGTTTGGGTAGGAAGGGACCTTAAAGAGCATGTAATTTGAACCCCCTGCTTCCTCTGCAATGGGCCAGTACGCCTTGCACTAGACCAGGATGCAACCATCATGTAGGTTTTTCCTTTACATTGTAAAGCAGGGACAGGCATTAGCAGATGAGGTTTAACCAAAACTAGTAACTACTGTTAAATTGCAACAATCCCACTTGGTCATCTGGAGCATGGACAAAAATCAAAAACTCTACTTTGTAGTATGACATACATAGATCAAGTGCTTCAGTACTTAGCCTAATCCACAGATTGAATTTGCATGAACATAGGAAGAAACATCAAAACAGATGTTGGAGTGACATTAGACAAGGAAGGAAACATGTAATTAATTATTTAACTCCTTGAATCAACAGTTTAGGCTCCCATGAAGCTTTGAAATTTTAGTTTCAAGGTGTGCATCCTTAGCATTTGTGCTTGGTATCCTCTCTGTGCATTTCATTTTATCACTGTCTGTCCCATCAGAAACCCACAGTGTGGTACACTGTTGCTGGACACCCTGACCTATCTGTGGGGACTAATCTTGCAGCTCCAGAGAGGTTGTGAAGCTTTGTTGCTATTGGCACATCATTTGGGTGCAAGGATTCTTGCAAAACTGCCAGAAGGGTTATTGCCACCTTCCTTCATTTTCTGCAGCGAGTCCTTCACTAATGTGTAAGCCTTTTCCTTCACTTTAAAGTACTTTCTTCCAAAATTTGCAAGAAATAGTAGAAAATGTTCACTCTTGTACACATTCCTCTGGAAACTGATTCCAGTGATAAGCTGGGTGAGTGATGAGGAGATGGAGGAATGTGCTCCCCTTTGAACATGCAGCCACCTTGCAACTATGAGCACACTATAGGCATTCCTATAGTGTTCTTAGAAAACTCTTCTGATTATTGTTTTGACTGACTGTGCTGCCATGAAAACCGTTTTTTCTATCGATTTGAAAATCTTCAACTAAATTTAATTGAAATTGGTAATTTTTTTCGAGGTCTGAAAAAAACCAACAAACAAGAACTTGCCACTAGAGGGAATAAAAGATGACACATGTCGACTTTTCTGTGTGGAATAAGAGACCTAAAACTTTTTTTTTCCTGGTTTCTATAGTTAGTATATATTCTCTGTAAATAGAGGCTCATGAATAAATGTCCTGAATTTGAAGCACTTGACATTTTTTGTTGTTCTTAAATTAAATTACATGTTTTCTAGCATAATGAATTCTGTTCACATCCCTTTCAATGTAGTATAAAGTAGCCAGGCAAAACCTGTCTATCTTAAAATATTTTTAAACTAGAAAATTCTGCTGAATACCTAGAGTCACCAGAACAGCAGTACTTTCACCGAAATTTAAGGGAGAGTACTGGAGGCCTGGAATATCAAGATAAATGCTCTGTAGGACTACAGTGAAAACTCAGCCATGAGCCTTGTCCCACATAATAAAAAGTTATTTACTGCTTGTGATGAAGGAGGGATGGCATACTTTCTGTCTCAGTTCCACCTTGTGCTGGTTAGACATGGGGGAATATTTTCTTCTAGTGAAAGACAGGTACCACCATGGTCATTCATCACATCACAGTAGCAATGTTGGCTTTCTCTGGGGGCAGGAGGATGGTCAGTTACATGAGGGAGGAGTCACACATTGGAAAATGAAGACTAAACCTTCAAAGTACAGGATATACAAGACGGCTGTGCATTACTGGAAATGAGAAAAGCTTTGGTAACTTGGCTGGTCCTCAAAAATTCTGATGGAATGTGAAAGGTCCAAGTGGCCCCATCCCACAAGAGAAGAATGTAATCTCTCAAAAAAGGAATTATAAACAGCAGATAGGGGCTAGAAGGTAAAAAGGGGTGTGGGGAAAAGGAGGCACTCACTGGGGAAGCTCTTTTTAGAGAGCCAGGTCTATCCAAGTTGCTTTG